ACAGTGTGGCACACTGCCGGCTGCGAGAGTTCCAAACACAATTTTCTTTCTTTCATGATATACGTATACATGTGTAGTGACTAACTCGGAGACGATAAGACTTGGAGGCACTTCTTTATTAACGAGCACCATCGGGATTAACACTCTTTATATTTAGTCCGTCTATTATCGGCGACGCTACTCAGCCAGGACAGTTGGTAGGCTGCCTGACTAGCGGCGCCCCGAGATGGTAGAGACGACGACGAGAAGAATGGCGACGATGGACTTCACCAGCCCCGAGGTCCCCCACAGGGGCCCCTCTTATACTGCCAGCGTGGCCTCGCTCCGCCCCGGCCACGCCCCCTTTCTGGAACCTACTAGCGGGTTCCTGGTGGACCCCTTCCGTGACCTTTCCCCTAGATCTCCCTCTCGTGTATATCCTGCCACACGCCGCAGATCCCCTTTTCTGCCAGCAGCCAGCGCTATGCCACTACACATGTTGAACTTCTTTCGCACCGTACGTAGCCAACTGTGCTAATCGGAGGTGCGGGATCATCATCAATCCTGATCAATATCGTGTCTTCACAAATCATCACCGTCTCTCTCACAGGACTGTGATGGAGCACTGCCATCCAACGCCTGCACACAAGTTCGATTTTATTGCTCGCTCTTCGTGGTCGCGACGCAAGGTCCTCTCGGCCACGTTGCCTCCTTCGGCCGCCACTCCCAACTCGCGTTAGTGTTGACCTCAGATTGACGTGTCCTGCCCAACAATTTCAATGTACTTGGGATTCTTCTTCTTTTTCGTATGGCTGATGTTGATGTAGAGCAACTAATTTGACATCGATACTCGGGATAGAACATTGTAACGTTGTGGCAAGGCCAGAGAGAACACGCGCATCTGTGAATGCAATGGAGCGGCGTCTGGGTCTGTCCCGTGACCTGCCAGCAGCGAGCTTTCGACAATTCACGTGGCCTTCGGGAGTGCACCTGGCCTGGCACGAACGCCGAGGTGGCCTCACCGCCACTTAATGGCAAGTGGCGGCATTTGTTATTGTCGCCGTCGCCATGGCGTCCCGCCCACCTCACGCCTCCTGTTCTCGACACCGTTGCTGTGCCGTGCCCCACCGCACCAGGGCCGCAGTTGGTGCTGAGCGTCTACGGGCCCGACGTGTTCGGCAACGATGTGGTGCGTGGGTACGGAGCCGTGCACCTGCCCATCGCGCCGGGACGGTGAGGGGGAAGCCGCCGCTACTTGCATCGCATGTCTGCTCGCCCCCACTCACCGCAACCTCCGCGGCTGCCCAGTTATTAAATCCACTAATGCTTTCGTACCACGTTATGTCTCTACATCCACATTTTGCTTACCCAATGACGTTGATGCCATTGCACCACCATCGCTTCTGTTAAGATTTCGTAGCTTTTGAAAAGTCGACACCGGTCCTCCCCCGATCTGCTCTTATATTATCATCATCACCATCATCACCGCGTGGATTTTGGTCATCTCTTTAGTAACCAGTGGGTGTCACTCCATTGGCCATGTCGTAACCTGCCCCGCTCATCGAAACCTCCTCAGCTGCTCGATATCATGCGTGGTGAGGTTGCCTCTGAAAAACAGCTAACAGCTCAGTGGGCTTTACCTGGCAAATAAATAAATCATCACTTGGCAAAACTTGGATACGTAAAATTATAGATATATAAATATTATCTATAACAATAAGCTTCCCACCCTGCAGTGTCCCGTAACTGCTGCTTGGCTCAACGGGGCCTCACCGTCTCGAAGTCCAGGTCCGAGATGACGTATGGATGTGCTCACAATTTGAAAAGTTATTGCACTTTGATTCACTCCTAACGACCGTGTTAAGAAATTGCTTCCACAAAAGCTTTGCCACCTCGGGTGGTAGCAATTCCTGCTCGTTTAATTCACGTTCGACTTCACCGACGGATGACCAAGTTGCTTTAAAAAAATCTCCTTTGTGTGTTTTTTTTTCAGGCACGAAATAACTATCCCAATGTTTGTTCCCGAGTCAAGCTCAAGACTCCAGCAGTTTATGAGGTACAATTTTGTAGAGCCAGTGTAAAAGTATTCCAAATTATCTGGTGATGATGCTGCTGTTGGTGATGTTGGCAGCGGTGCACACAAGCACAATTAACAACAAAAACACTCACATTCGTCAATGTATGTATGTTGAGCTTGTTTCGCCCCGTACATAGCCGTACTAATCGGGAGGTGCGGGGGAATGACAATCGGTGACGTCTCGAGCAATGCCCCTTCTTCAGAGCACGTAAATTATGTGTTAGGGTTTGGATTAGCGGGCCGTTTATGTGCGCGGGTGCTTGTGGTTTGTTGTACTCCAGCTGGCTGCGAGGCAGGCGACCAGAATACACGGACCCCAAGGTGGTGGCTCGAGGAGAGGGCAGGGAAGGTGAGCTACCAAGGACGTCTTTAAGCCATCTTCTCCTTGAATCTGAATACCGTGTACATCTGTCCTCGGAATAATGTTGAGCGGATTTACCCTGTTTTGCAAACAAAAACTGAAAACAGGTAAGGCCCACCAAGCTATATCGCTCTGTTTTTCAGAAGCGATCTGCCCACAAATCGTAGCTCAACAAAGTGGCTTATCACATTGAAATGTATAAGCAGCCAAATACTCTAAACGCACGGTTCTAAATGTGGTGGGGAAAAAACGGAGGACCCGGAGAAAAATCCACGTGACCACGGGGAGAGAGACACGCAAACTCCAAATATACAGCAGGCGTCAGGGTCGGGATCGAACCCACGACCTCCTGTAAACTAGGCGAGGGAGATAACATCTCGCCAACGCGGCGCCCCTGAATTGAAGCTTGAGATATCAGACTGTGTGGGGGAACACATGTTCCGTGTGGCCCAGACAGCCATAATAGCTTTGTGCATCACGTGGGTCGTATTTAACAATCATCAGGCGCGTGCAGCGTGGAACGAGTTGATTAGAATGGGGAGTAACTTGGCGAATGCTTAAGAACAGAGCATGGTGGGGGTCGCAAGGACTGGAGTTTTTGGAAACCCTTGGGTAGTGGAACAAAATCCATTGTTGCACTGTATTATGATCCAGCATCAATGCCCCCAGCCTGCACTGACGAGCGTGGTGAAGTATGGTCAGGTAATCCCCACAACTCGCATGACACGAGAAGCCCGTCATCCAGTGGTGGATGGACAAAAGGGCCGTGCATAAAACACTTTATTGTACTTACCTTCGTAGTTAACATTTGCTTTATTTCGAATGCAAAATATTTGGGCGGATCCTTAACCGCAGTCGTTTCACGTTCTCTCTCCTTCCCCGTCTGGTCCGCGCGCCCGTGCACATCACGTGGCAGTGACGCGCGTGCGCTCGCAGGGATACATTCACGTCGTCTTCAACATCGTCACCAAGGACTTGCGGAAACTCGGCTACGAGACGGTGGCGGCATCGGCGTCGGACGTCCACCACGCCGCACGCTCGACGCCGTGACCACCGCCAAAGCTTAGGGGGCGCGATTGAAAGCGGAAACCGAGCTAACGGCAACCCCCACAACAATCACCCCACTGGGCCTCCCCCAGATAAAGGGAACCCGCCCGTTTGCGACAGTGCGCACCACCCTCCTGCAGTTAAGTGCCAATCGGACGGATGTCAAGAGGTTCATCGTTCGCTCCGAAACGTACGGATGTCGTAGAGAGATGAGTTTCAAAAGCAAACGTATTCTCATGTTGCGTAACCGCCACTTGCGGTGAGAAAAGAGCCGAAGTGATGTCATACCGCTTCCTGCGACATGTGACACCATTTCCTGTGACACTATGGGTATGTAGTCACTTCGTGTGGCGTTGTGTTTTTTTTCGTAATCCGTGACGATGTTTTATTTTTACAGATAGTCCAAAATTCCATATCTAGCCCCGATAATTGGAACTTTTTGGGATTATTCCCAAAATCTTGAACACATTCCGACGATGTAGCCGTTGACCTTCTCGACCACGCGATGAAACGCGGAGAGATGCGGGCGTCACGATTAAAACATATTTTTTTACATCTATTTTTTTTTACATTCGTGGTGTGACAACATCTATAATCCTCAGTTCAGTATCGACATATCAGTCGACGAGAACAAACTCTTTACACGCGTGGTTCGATCCACGTATCGTGAACGTGACCATCGATTGTACATTCGGAGATCCTACGTTAATTTCTCTTCACACAATGTAAAAATGTGTATCGCTTGATTTTCACAACAGTGCTATGTTTCAAGCCAATGTCGTTTTTGTTAAAAAAAACATTTGTACATTTTCAACGCCGCCAGAAGACCTCTTTTGCTCCACACAAGTACACTCCCCACCTTTATTAATAAAAATTATAAATGCACAAAAACTCCAGCGGAAACACAATGTACACAGCATGGAGACCACCTACCTTGTCCCCATCGCGACAATGAATCGCATTGCATTCTGAACACAAACTGCATTCAAGTGCCACAGTTAACAATAAAAACATTTCATGAAATACCGCCACACAACGACATGTTGGTTGGTTCACAATGGGAGGTGTAATTATTGTGATGGGAGGGGATGGTTGTTGGCCATTAGCCTAAAAAGACACTGGGTTTTGTCTCAAGCTGAGCAGTGCATCTTATCAAATATTACACTCTCAATAATTAAACACAATACTTTACCGTGTCATATACCCATCGTACATTGTTAGAAGACTCGTGTGTTTTTCGCCATGACGCTCAATCATTGTGTAATTTACGATTATTATAGGAGTATGGTTCTGCGTCGGAACTCGGGACCCAATTCTACCTGAAAGGGCCCTTTCCTTTAAACATCGGGCAGTTCACCAGCATTGGATAAAGCAAGGGCTGACACTGCTGATGAGACACAATGCCAAATGCCGGTTCACACTTTGCTTGCATTAAAATAATCCTGCTAGGAAGATGCACTCCCAGAAGGCCGTGGGGGCCGATGGCATGTGTAACAAAAAAACACATAACTTTAAACGACGAGAGAGACAAACATGGGAAGGAGGCGTTATGTCCAGCTTATTTATTAATTTTGTTGAAAGCAAAAGCGTGGCCAGAATCTCAACGGCACACGATGGGGCGTTTTGAAGCTTGAACTGAACGGCACCCCGAGAGTAAAATGTGAAATCGCGGCGGCTAAGGCCGAGATCCTCCGAAGCTCCCGACGCGAACCACATTCACAACAAAGCAGCAGCAGTTCGGTGTTGCCACAAATTCACCGACGAGTGCTGTTTTAACGAACGCTGCCGATTTCCGTTCGCACAGACGGGCGTGCCGAAGAATAAAAAGAAAAAATTTCAGAGACAGAAAAACAATTACTTATAGGTACTGTACAAGCAAAAGTGCATCATTTCAAGTTGGATACAATTCACAACTTGACGACATTGTCAGTTAATCTGCAGTAAAAAAAAAAAATCAACAATGGTGCCCTCGTAAAGGTCTTTCGTCGTCAGTTTGCCCACTATTCTCTCAGCCATGGGCAAACGACCACCCTGTACAGCTGTCGCTGCGATACCAACACGCAGTCCCACGCTACGCGCAGCGATTATACACCAAACAACAAAACAAATTAACAGCCAACGCAAGCCACAACAGTGGATTAATGAAGATGATTGGGAAAAGCTTATCATCAACTTGTACACGCGGTGCCCGGCAAACGTTAAGCCCAACAGCGGTTCCCAACCGCTGTGTGCGCGCGCACACAAAGTGTGTGCAAGTGGGGAAGAAGGGATTTTTTTCTCCTTCGAAGAGTAGACGGCACCTCGTGTACAACACGCGCACGGATGACGATTCCGAGTAGAAAGAGAACACTTGGGGTCGTGCCACGATACATTTAGCGAACCGCCTCGCTTTCGCCGACACGTGCCGAGGTCGAATTCGACGAGTATGACCAAAACTTTGAGATTTGGGGACGAGAAAGGCACGGGCACGCACGGTCATCGATGGTCCCGGAATGGATTCCAACATGAAGCTCCCCTCCCCACCAGTGCCGGATGAAGCTAGTGCGGGGCCTGTAACATATGTTGTTATAAAGGGGCGCTAAATAAAACAATTAAAAATATTTTAAAAAACACACATTTTTTACTTGCATAGTAAAGTAATTGTAATTTTTTCATTTGCTATACAGCCAGGTAATACGACACATCGCTAACCTTAAACACCCAAGTCGTTCATTAAAGTTGAAGGCGGTATAGTACTATAGTAATAGAGCAAGTGCAGAATCACTGAACCGGAATTGAAAGCTTGAAAGCATTTAGCGCGGGCCCCTTGAAAGTGCGTGGCCCTTGAAAGTGCGGGGCGCCTGTAGCTGCATATGCAGCTACTTGTGCTACCGGGATAATCCGGCACTGCTCCCCACCACCTCGTCACAAGGCTTCACAGCGAGATGACGTCACGCGTGGGTGATGACGTCACAAATAACGACGTCATCGCCTTGGCCTGGCAAGGGCGGAAACGTTAGTGGCGCGCTGGATGTTTTTGTTGTCCTTGTCCCGTCTAGTTTTAGGTAAACACAACCTTTGGGTAATTTTTTTTTCATAAACTATATTTAGCGATTGCTGCACTGCTTCATTTGGCAGCAGTGCACAAAAGCAAAATACAACAACAAAAACTCAACACGGTCGTCAATAATTACAACACCGTGGGCTTAAAAATAAAACGATATACAATAGGCGACATTTTGTAGCACGCTGATAGAGAGAGGGCTTTTAAAAATGTTTTCCCAATGACCCAGTTTCATCAATTAGGCGCTTGCGCGTGAAGTTGGCTTTCGGTTGAAATTTGTCTCCGTTTTCTGAAGTGCAAGCCCCTAATAGCACTAAAATATGGCTTGCATGCATCCGATCATCTTCACGAGAGAGCCGTCGCAGGCCTCCCCGTTACAGACAGACGTGCGGCAGACAGCCAGGAGACGGCTAATGCATTAACGTGCCAACCTCAGTCGGAAAGCCGTCACTCAAGGCAATCCAGACCACGGGACATCTTTCAGTGCATCGTACTGTTAACGTAACACTCGTTTGCATCATAAGGTTTACACTTTTAGCTCAAATTTTCACATTTTTCAGAAAATTACCATAGCGTCTCATTTCTAGAGCGTTGATGTCACATAACCACCCCTTTTACGCACGCGCACGCACACGCACGTCACAATATGGCTCGGAATAAAAATAAATTAGCGAGCCACTTCCCCCATTACTTTGGGATCTCGATGGCTTTACAGAACATCGATGCTGGCCCAATGTGCCCCCCAAAAGACATTAGACCCCCCCCCCACCCACACCAACCAAAAGAAAAAATGTTAGACCACAGAATTGGTTAAAATGTAAAGGCTCAATCTTTCTCATGCCAGATCCCAGAACTCCTGAACTGAAATGTCTGCTCCAAGTCTGATCATAAGCATCTTTCTGGCTTGTTCTACAGTTGACGCGTCCCTTTTAGGACCATTGTGACAGCCTCACCCGACCACCTACCCAGGTTCAGGTCTCACCATTAGGTCACAGAGAATAATCTTTGGGGCACGTCGCTCCAAAAGCCAGCATCGGTAGCTCGCTCTCCTCCAACATCTACCACGCACACGTGTCACAGCCATCACAACCTGCCGCCCCCCCCCACCCTTTCCTGATCTACACAACAACGAACCCCATTAATGAAATGATTTGCCGCTAGCAACCCACTTTCGCGGGCCCGTCCGCCCGTCTGTCCGTACGCGTGACGCGACGACAAGGACGACGACTTTCAGATTGAGCGGGGTGAAATTGAAAAGGGGGTTGTGCCGTCTTCAGAGAGTTTTAAAGGGAGGACCCGAACGAGTAAACGCGCGAATAGCAATCTGCTGGCAGTCGCACCGTTGCCGTTTTTGCCGCGAGGCAGCGGCGACTCACGGCTCTCGGTTGAGGCAGTCTTGAGTCCTCGTGGCCAGCCCCTAGGGCTTTCAGGCCAGCTGCACCTCACTCATCGCGAGTCACTGAATCAGTCCCCACGAGACCAGTCCTGGGCCTCAAGGCCCAGCTCAAGGACATTGGACCGTGGCCTCAGGGTCGTGGCCTTGACACCGGTCTCAGCCTACAGGATCCAGCCCTGAGCAGGCCTTGCACTCGACTTGGCCGTGATTGGCTCACAGCCTTGAATCCAAGACTATAACTTCCACCTCAGGTTTTATTCCAGTCTTGGTTGAGAACGCTTTAGCGTTACAACCATCAAATGCGAGCCGAAAATTGGAAAAGAACCCCAGGTTTGAGTTTGCAGCATCTCCCTCAACTGAGATCTGTGAGCCGACACTGCCTGGCAAACAAATCTCATAGCCCGTAGCATGTTTTGGTCTAAACCAAAGAGTTCACTGCATCAAACCGCAGTCCGATTCAGGAGGCTGGTGTGTGTGTGTGTTTGAAGCGATAATCCATAGGGCTTCACTCTGTCGCAGAGGTCGCAACCGGGTACCCGATACCCGTACCCTACCCAATACCCGGCTACCCGTACCCGGCCAGGTACGGGTACGGGTACCCGTTTGCGACCCTGGTGCGGCCGGGTACGGGTACGGGTAGGCCGCGAGTCACTGGTGAGTAACCGTTTGTCACTCATTTCGGGTAGGGTACGGGCACGGGTAGGGAACGGGTACCCGTACCGGCCGGGTACGGGTACCCATTTGCGACCCTGGTGCGGCCGGGTACGGGTAAGGAATCAAAACCCGTTTGCGACCTCTGCTCTGTCGAGCGAAATACAGTAGCGCCAAGTGCACGAGCTGATGTTCGTAAAAGCACACCACGGGACGCGTCTCTCCTCGTCCGTTTTTCGTGCTCGCAATCGTAGCGAGTCGGATAGAATGGCACTGACAATTGACGTCAACAGTCAAGGCTACCAAATGTCTTGGGAGGTTTCCCCGCGGGGACACATGACGAGCTGGCAGCCCCTCCCTCCATCTATCAGCCCCCGCCCACCTCTAACATAGCCACGCCCACACATACAACGAGCAATCTGATTGGCTCTTTTATTATGTTGGACCCGCCCATCGCTGGGGTAACCCCGCCCACTTCTCTGGTAGCTCCGCCCACTGCTCGGGTAGTACAAAATCCAAATTTCCACAAACCGTTTTTGGTAGCCTCGGTTTGCATACACACGAGAAAATATATATTTTACTGTTTCGGTTACATATTTTGATGACTCTAAACAAGCGAGCGCTATAAATGTGTGTGCTTGAATAACTTTAAAACAAAAGTGAATCGATTAATAAAAATTGGCCACTTTCTATCCGGAACACATGTTGCCGTCGCGTTTGTTTATCAGAGGAGGCAATCGGAGAATGATTTTGATGACACCGATGCTCATCAGCAGTGCGCGCCGCAGTGGCTACGAGATGCCATCCTCCCTCGCCTGGTATGCACGAGGTTTTGGGTTCAATCCCGGAACCCTGGCAATGCCTGTTGTGCGTTTTCTCTCTCCCCTAAGTGGTCGCGTTGATTGTTCTCTGGGTTCCTCCAGTTTTGCCCTCCCCGTTTACAACCAACGCGCCTCTACATTATTCGGCCGCTGCGATAAATTCCCACGCGTGGCGATGATGATGATGACGATGATATCAGCCGCTTCGACGATGAGCTATCAAACGCGTGTGGCCTCTGAAATAGAACCAATAGGTCAGAGGGCGTTACCTGGTAAATAAAAGAGTTTAGTTTTAATACAGCCGTAAAAAAGTGATGTAAAAACAAACACTCTTGTTGTAGAAATAATTTATGGTCTCAACTCGGGTCCCTTTGCAAGCTGTTCAACCAACATAATATTTCTTCCGTTCTCTAATGCTCATTTAGCCCGTTGTGATAAAAATACTCTCTGAGTCCTGAAAGCACTTATGGGAATATTTAACACGAGTCTTGGCTTTACGTCCGATATAACCAAGCCGCATTATCCCGGCGGCGGCACGCGCGGGTACGCCGCGTTCAAGTCGAGCGGCGGGTCGCGTGCGTGCGGTGGTGGGGAAAAGCGTGGGTAAAATCCAACCCTCTTCCAATAAGGTTTGGCCACCGTGAAAGGATATGCCAAGCAACTAGGTGGTCTCAAGAGCTTCTCCCTGTAAGGGGCTCAATCTCTCTAGAGACTAATCGAGTGGAGACGCGACCAACAGCAGTGGCGTGAGCCAGTAAATTGCAGGGCTGCGCCTTTGCCTTTTTTTTTTTACTGTTGCAAGTGTGCCGCTTGGCGCCACAAGGTTCTGTGGCGAAGTTAGGACCGGGGCGCTTCTATAGACAAAGAACCCCCGTATGGCCTGAACAGATTGTTGGTGCTGTTAAGCAAGGAGCACGAATGAATTCCGGGACGGCAAACAAGGAGGATGGGTGGCCAGCACCACGCCCGGCCACCTTGGTCTCCCTAGTGGCGATGTTTACACATCGCACCGGGTATATGTATATATGTTGAACTTCTTTCGCACCATACTCGGCCTTCTCCATTTTGCAACAGCAGGCGCGCTCATCGGGGCGTGAGACAATGCTCACGCTTCCTGCCCTTTGTTCGTTTGTTTCTTGAATGCCAGCTGTTTGTAAAAAAGAATGTCATTCACGTAGCCGAACTGCTCACCCAATGTGCTTAATAGGCGCATTGAGAGGAAGGTTCTGAGCCGAACGACGGTAGATTTTGGTCAAGTTTGTAAGGTTCACACCCGCGGGGCTGTGCGTCTCAGGTTGTCTGCCATGACACGAGAGGGCCTCACATGACATTCAGGGCGGTGGCGGAACCAGAAGAGGAGGGGGGAGGGCAATGGTGAGATCCCAAAATAAATAGCTTTTATACTCTGTGGTTCTTTCGGTAAAGTCAAGTAGGTAGAACATTTTTATTAAAAATTATTGTGATATATTATTTTATGTTTTATTTTTCTACCTACGTGACTTGCAGTCACGGAAGCTTCAAATCAAGAATAAGCATCTTTTGTTGATATTTATTTTCACCTATTTTGGCCCATCGATATTGCATTTTTAGGAAGAACAAAAAAAATCTCAGTTTGGGAATCTCTCACCCTCCTTCCCTACCCCGCCCCCCCCACCGACTGGGAAGTTTCTAAAGCCACCTCCAAGTCACTGCCCATGAGCCCAGGCCAGATATTAGAATTTGTCGGGACCGTCCGAGGTGGCATCACTTTCACAATTCCAGTAACCAGGTAAAGCGAGTGAGCTGATGTAAATAAATCGGTGCCACTAAAGTTTCTGCGATATGAGGTGGTACCGATTTTTTACGGACTATCAGGGCTGCTGTGACACATTTCCATCCGTTCCACGTACATAACCAATAAATACAATTATACCCTAAGTTGTGCACATTTAACTTACACGTATTAAGCCGGATAATACAGTTTAACCGTAGCACCCATTGGTTTTGGTATATATTTTTTTGGTTGCGTCTTCCCTCTACGAACGCCAGCACCCCGCCATCGCTGGCGAACGAGGAATGCGCTTCTCGGCACAGCTTTCGGTGGCTTCCTGGCCAAAACGCTCAGCCAAAAATACTCAACTGAACCCAAAATGGGAATGTGACGATCACCGTTGAACAATAATCACACAGCGGTTTCGTTTGATAGCGTAAATATTCTTCTAGTGCGTTTCGGAAACGCGCGTTCATTCGGCTGTTTGCTCACGTTTAACAAATTCGCAGCACCCGCTGCAACATGTCGGTGATGGAAGTTCTCACCAATCACGGTTCGGGCAGAATGAACCGACAAACAACTGGGCGATCGGCGGGGGAAATGTGAATCGGTAAAAGTGGAACACCAACTCAACTATCAAGCTACACCAGGGCACCAACAGCCTCCTTCCCACCAAGGTGGATTTTACCACCTTGCCACGTTGGTACACCGAGTTTCAGAAACCTGCAACAACGCTTTTCCACTGCCACCATCGGAGCCGGGTCAGAACGGCACCCTCTGGGGATATTTGTCGACGGCAGAAATCTATAACCGCAACACGCCAGCCTCACAAGCTGGTTTGAGGGGGGCCAAGCAGGGCCAGGTGGCGCGTCAAAAGTCAACCCAGTACTTCTTAACCCTTTCTCGTTCCGAGATGTCTGCAAGTTGCAGGGTGGGTGGGTGTCCCGTTCCCTGCTTAATTCTCGGAATAAGCAAGGAGCTCAGCGTTAATTTAATTTAGAGAGGCACAGTAGCGCCGTCGTTTTTGAAGACGTTGTTACTCACCGCAGAGAACTGTCGCGACAAGACCGCCACCACTCTACGATAGCCGGCGCCAAACTGTGCCACACGCCCTCCCGCATTGCCTTGTGGGAGCCTCGATACCAATAAAGGTATTAAGACTTCAGTTTTTATTCCGGTTTCCGACGTGCGTCATCGGAATGGAATCGTTCGTGTACGTACATCGTTGTCGGAACGGGAAAGGGTTAACTCGTCATGCCAACATCTCGGTTGTGCAGTGGAAAAAGGTTACAGGAATTCTTTCTAGACGGGAAATACGTGGTTGGGAGGTGGGTGATCAAATGATGTTGGGCAGCCACGCGGAGAAAAAGCTTCTTCAATGTCACTCTCTGCATTCCACCGTGAAGACCCACTCAACTGCCCGCCCGCCCACCCGCAGGTCCACCCGCTCGCTCGCGTAACAATCGTTAGTGTCTCAATATTAGGTTGTGTTGCGTTAAACTAAGACCCATATCAAACGCGGGGGGCCGTTTAGCGATGATTGTCAGTCTGTTCCACCAGCAGCAATCGGTTCAAGCAAGGCCAACTCCACCGACGAGTTCGTGAATGTCGAATCCAGCCCAGAGTTTTGCTCGTGTTGAACCAACGTTTCTGAAAGTTACGCCTTCACCGGACCCAGCAGTGTGGCTCATGGGATGTGTAAAAAAATAAAAAAAACTTTCGGATAAAAAAATTATAATTAAGTGGTGGAACAGCCATGAGAAGGAGGAGTGTTGTGTACGTATTTAACTTGTTTATATCTCTCTCTTCTCCTCCCCGTACGTACGTCCCTTGAAACTTCGTTCGCACCGTACGTAGCCAACCGTTCTAATCACCCCCCACGGCTCGCTGCCCCCACCCCCGCCCACCCCCCCAAGAGTCACCCCCCTCCTGCCACCCCCACCACCTCCCGCGGCTCCCCCCCGCCTCCCCCTCACACCCGCAAGGGCATGTAGAGGTACCGAAAGATGGCGTAGTAGTGGATGGTGGCAGCCAAGGCCACAAACAGGTGCCAGATGGCGTGAGCGAAAGGCACGCGGCCGTCGCTCTTGAAGAAGATGACTCCGAAGATGTAGAGGGCTCCGCCGATCGCCACCTCGGAAAGGCCTTCCCTGTTGGGCTGAACGGCGCATCGCACGGGAGAGAGGGAAAACAATTATATAGAATAATAATTAAAAATACGTAAACACGTTAATCACGTGCCGTGTAGAAAGGCAAAGAACCCCACCCACCTCGTCCCCCGCCCCCCGCCCCCACTTCTTTCTTCCCCGTATAGCCTTGAAGATTTTTGTTCTTATAATAATTTTAAAAATATAAACACGTTAATCACGTGCGGGGCTGCGGGCGTAAACAAACGACCTTCAAATCGTACTTGCGATCTGTGCGCTTACCATTGAAACGATGGCGAGAGCCGGAGAGATGCCCATGGTGAGGTAGAACACCAGCTCGATCAGCTTATACCTGCAACGAAGGAAGAGGGGCGGGCACGTGTCAGGCCGCGTGGGCCACGTGGGGGGGGGGGGGGGGGGGGGGCGTCCACGTGGCGGCGGTGACAGAGCCCGGGGGGGGGGGGGCGAGGCGTCCCGACGCGTCGTGCAAAGTTGCCGCAGCGGCGCAAGGCGAGGGGTCACGTGACGCGAGAGCGACTCGGGGATTGGATCCCGGAGCCACTGATGCGGCCACAAACGGAGAAAAGAATCAGAATCTTTTATTTAGACTCGAGGGGTCAGAACGTCATAATAACAAACGATGCAAAAACACGATAGTAGTGCAAAGTATAGGAAAGGTAAGAAAAAAAAAATCACTTTACAAATTTCCAAATTAAACTAAACTATTTTATTTTACCAAGCAATAAGTTATTCGCTTCTTTTTCAGAAGCGACCTGGACGCTAATCATCGCTCAACAAAGTGGCCTTATCATCATCGTGTGGACAATTTAAAGCAGCAGCCAAACACTCTAAACGCAAGTCGATTCTAAATATGGAAGGAAAAACCAGAGGACCCGGAGAAAAATCCACGCGACCACCAAGAGAGAGAGAGAGACACGCAAACTCCAAATATACAGCAGCAGGCGTCAGGATCAAACCCACGACCTACCAGGCGAGGTCGTTAAACATCTCGCCACTGCGGCGCCCCGTGAGTCACCGCCATGTAATCATTTTTCTTCGTTGCGATACGATAACTTCATTATCTCGCGATATCAGTTTCACATATCTCCGCACCATCGTATTGCAGAACCCCGATTGTGCCGTGTTTGAACTTCGCCCCATTCCCGGTACGAATGAAATCATTCTTTTAACCGCCGCTCGCCCGACGGGAGGCTGCCGAGCGTGCAAAAAAAATCATCCGGTCGCGGCGCGTTGCCGTAGAGTTTCACTCGCCAAAGACGAGCTTTTGCGCTCCGCGACAAGCCACGGCTGTCGGGACGTCACGTGACAACCCCGAGACGTCGCTCGAGCCGTCGCGCCCGAGTGCGATACGGGGAAACAAAGCGGTGGCGGCGGAGGCGGTCGCAGCAGCGGCGGTGGCGGCTGCCGCACACCCAATCACTCTGCGGAGTAGGGGAGGTGGTGGGGGGTGTAAACGCACCGGCCATGGAACATGAAGACGAAGAGTGCCCCCGAGCATGCCATGAGCCACACGACCCAGCGCATGTGAGAGGCCCACGGGCCCAGCTCCCGCAGGAAGAGCCTGCGCAAGAGACGGACAGAGAGAGAGGGAGGGAGAACGGAGCGCAAGCGTGAAGGGGTGGCAACACACGCACCGCTGCTAAGCTAAAGATCCACTACCCCACCCTTCCCCCCGTGTAAGACCAGACAGACTGGTCGGGGCAAGTGCCGTTTAGCGAGCAGCAACCTCTGAAGGCCGGGGCGCGTTCGTATGGTGCTGGCCACCCAAGCCCCGCTCGTGTGCTGTGCCGGCCTCCATCAGCGCAACTCGCTAAACAGCACTTGCCCCAACAGTCTGTAGAAGGCTATATACGGGAGAATCTTCGTCTTTGTACGTTAAACTTCTTTCGCGCCGTACGCAGCCACCCGTGCTAGCTGGAGGCGCGCCACGGTACACAAAGGGGCGGGTGGCCAGCACCACGCCCGGACGCCTTTGTCTCCCAAGTCGAGGTGTTCACACACCGGACCAGGCAACTCGCTTGAGTCGACCGAGGGGAGGAGGCCTCGGTGGGGGGGACCGGCTCGGATACAATCGTCACCGACGTTCGCCGTCAGCGTGAATGGAATCAGAATCTGTATTTAGACTGCAGGGGGAATCCGATGAGCTATGAAGCTCTTTCGCGCAGATGTCCAGTGCGGGCGGGTCACAGTGCAGTGCCAACCGCCGCGCCACCGCTCCCGTGGACAATTCACACACGGACGTGCGAAGACATTGGGGCAGTGGAACAAAAGATATATATATATATATATACACGTTTTAGTATGCAACACAGGAGGCGGGAGGGGGGGGGACGAGGGGTGGGGGGAGGGGGCGCGGGCGCGGGGAGCGGGGGGCCACGAGTAACCGAGAGCACCCACCAGGGCGTGTAGGAGGCGGCGGTGAAGAGGTAGATGGCGACACGGTCACAGATGTGGAAGCAGTGCTCCGTTGAGCTGCGGTGGGGCGGGGGGGGGGGGGACAGCGCAGCGGTGAAGCGGAGTCGAGTGTGCGGCGAGCGAGCCGCGCGAGTCGGATGGAGGCGAGGCCTCGATGGCCACGCGACATTCCACATGACGCGCCGCCGCTACAACACCCCCCCCTCCCCCCGTTATAACGCAATCGACGACGAACTACTTTCTTGAGCTGCGCAGCTGAGCGGAGTGATACACGGTACGCAGAATGATACAGTGACGCGGTGGCGGCGGACTCATCGCGTGTAGTAGTACGTCGCATCTCGCCAAAATTGATCGCGGCGTCATTATTACTTACGAGGAAAGAAATTCAACTCGAGCCGGGCACCATAACGATCGAGATGATGAGATGGCGACGTAAGGCGCTTTCAAGAAGCCGCACGTGAACAGTGACAGATGACCGCGCAGCCTGGCATGATCCTGTATCACTGGTGGGTACCGGCGGGGACCGGCTGGAACCGGTATGGACTGGCAGGGAACCAGCAGGGCACCGGCGGCGCCGACTCACTGGAAGTGGCGCCCCTTCCAGGCGTAGATGTGGTAGATGGTGGACACGATGAAGAGGCCGCAGAGGCCCAGGCCGTACACCCACGCCGTCACCTGCTCCAGACGCTCGTCCGACAGGCGGTGCAGCGCGGCGCTTCCCACGATGCTCGGCAAGATCCACAGCTGAGCGGCGAGATCCACGGCGGGACAGAGAGAGGGACGGGAGGGAGGGGTGACAATGACGACACGAGGTGGGAAAAATAATTTTATCTTATTTGAAACCACGGTAGCGAGATGTTAAAGACCTCGCTTGGTATACAGAAGGTCGCGGATTCGATGCCAACCCTGACGCCTCTAGATTGGAGTCTGCATGTTCTCCCCTTGGACGTGTCGATTTTCCTCCGGGATTCGTCCGCTATTTACATTTAGAATCAACGTGCATATTTGGCCGCCGTACATTTGCAGCAGTTGCACCGCCTGCACACTCGCCAGAGGTCGCAATCGAGTACCCAATACCCGTACCCTACCCGATACCCGGCTACCCGTATCCGGCCGGGTACGGGTACCCATTTGCGACCCTGGTGCGGCCTGGGACGGGTACGGGTAAGGAATCAAAACCTGTTTGCGACCTCTGACGCTCGCCAGCTGCACCGCGGCGGGTGTAGAATAAGGTGGAGGGATGGTGAGGGGAGGTGGGGGGGGTGTGCTACTCACGGCGTGGGTCGCGCAGTTGGCGGCGTGCTCGTACTCCGTGGGCTGGTAGCGGCAGTTCGGCGGCGGTCGGTGGTTCATGAACCTGCACGGCCAACACGAGCAACACGGGCAACACGAGCAACGCTTTGGTCCTGGTGGTGCAGCGATCAGCGCGCTGCGCCGCGCTACGAACCCGCCTTCGCGGCCAACACCGGTGACGATTATCTGAACCGGTCCTGGACCTCCCGTGGGTCACCTCAGCCTCAATGAGTACCTGGCAGCGGTGTGTAAACATCGCCCCCAGGTGAGTCCCGGGTGTGCCTGTGAATTTTCGGAATTATAAAAAAGAACCTGACTATTAGCTCGCATGCAAGGACAGACGAACTGCAAGATCCAAACCATGTCCATTTCTTGAGAACTGCTTTTTGCGTGTTCGTTTATCGTCCTTCCCCCGCCCCTCCGATTCGCACGGCTTGCTGCGTACGGTACGAAAAGGAGTTCAACACGCATAAATACAACTCTCCTCCGTGCCGTTCAGTGGCCGATCCAGCCCCCGCCATCCCCAACTCCTCCTCCCCCGCTACCCCATCTCTCTCCCTCTCCATCGGTCACCGCGTAGCGAGAGCCGTAAGAAGGCCCGTCAGCCACCACCTCCGGCCTTCCCAATTCCCATCGGTCGAGCGTGCACAGTTGGGGGTGTAGGTCAAACGTCCGCCGCACGGCGTTTCCCACGCCACGCACAACCGCTCGCTGGTTCAGTGAAGCGACTCTCGCCTGCGGTGCACACATTCGGCTGTTCGCAGAGTCGCTCATGCGTCCATTCAGTTTCTGCAAAGCTCTTCACGGCAGGAGAATTACTCGGTTCACTGACGATGTTGGGAAGGGGGGGGGGGAGGTCCGTGTACAATACATGTGCAGCGGTTAGCAATGTGTACCCTTGGAGCGTGCCCTCTCTCCGAGTGAAACTAATTCAATCCACGTGACCTCGTTTTCCAGGGTACGAATTATTTTTCTATTATATATATGACCATAATCTGGGCCAATATTTAAGCCAGATTTCCAGCTGTCTAAAGCGATCAAGAACACCATCAGGGTTAGATGTGCAACAATCACTCACAACAGGTCTATGCGTATCAGATGTGTGTGCCGTGTGTCGTCATAGGTCGACTCAGCCTCAAACGAGTACCTGGTGCGGTGTGTGAACAATCGCCACTGGGGAGACAAAGGCGGTCGGGAGGCCGTGGTTCTGGCCACAAACCCTCTCGTCTACCATGGAGACCATCACATACCTGTCAACCCCTTATTATCAGTGCCCCTACCTTATTACAGACCAACTCTCACCTTATTGGTCACCCCGTGCCCTTATACATCTCAACGTTCATCCTACAAAGGCCCATCACAAGGGTAGAAACACAAACAAATAGACACACTTTATTTTTGCCCGTATTGAAACGTCTGTACGCCGTATGGACCTGAAAACTCAATTTCCCTGGACAAGAATACGGGGTAAACCGTATGGGTTGACAGGTATGACCATCATAGGTGCTCGCGAAAGAGCACTTGCCCCGAAACTATGTTACGGCTACACGGGGGATCTTTGTCTTGTAATAACAGTACAAGACAACGTTCGTCGTAAAGTGCCGGCGGTCCCATCACAGCGCTGGTGCCAGGCTAGGTGTTGGCAGGTCACGGGATAAGCTCTGCACAAGGAACACCACCAACACCAATACACCACCAACAATACACCACCACCACCAGTACACCACCACCAGTACACCACCACCAGTACACCACCACCAGTACACCACCAGCACACCACCACCACACCACCGCCACCACCAGTACACCACCACCAGTACACCACCACCACCACCAGTACACCACCACCACCACCAGTACACCACCACCACCAATACACCACCACCACCAGTACACCACCACCACCAATACACCACCACCACCAGAACATCACCACAGTACATCACCACCACCAGTACACCACCACCACCAGTACACCACCACCAGTACACCACCACCAGCACACCACCCTCACCAGTACACCACCAGTACACCACCACCACCAATACACCACCACCAGTACACCACCACCAATACACCACCACCAGTACACCACCACCACCAGCACACCACCAGGACACCACCAGTACACCACCACCACCAATACACCACCACCAGCAGTACACCACCACCAGTACACCACCACCAACAGTACACCACCACCACCACCAGTACACCACCACCAGTACACCACCACCAGTACACCACCACCACCAGTAACACCACCACCAGCAGTAGTACACCACCACCAGTACACCACCACCACCAGTACACCACCACCACCAGTACACCACCACCACCACCAGTACACCACCACCAGTACACCACCACCACCACCAGTACACCACCACCAGTACACCACCAGCACACCACCACCACCAATACACCACCAGCACACCACCACCACCAGCACACCACCACCACCAGTACACCACCACCACCAGTAACACCATCACCAGCACACCACCACCACCGGCACACCACCACCATACCACCACCAGTACACCACCACCAGCACGCCACCACCACAAATACACCACCACCACCACCGGTACACCACCACCACCGGTACACCACCACCACCGGCACACCACCACCACCGGCACACCACCACCACCAGTACACCACCACCAGCACACCACCAGCACACCACCACCACCAGCACACCACCACCACCAGCACACCACCAGCACACCACCAGCACACCACCACCAGCACACCACCACGACACCACCACCACCAGTACACCACCACCACCACCACTACCCCACAACCAGTACACCACCACCAGTACACCACCACCAGCAGCACACCACCACCACCAGTACACCACCACCACCAGCACACCACCACCAGCAGCACACCACCACCAGCAGCAACCCACCACCACTACACCACCACCAGTACACCACCACCACCAGTACACCACCACCACCAGCACACCACCACCAGCAGCACACCACCACCAGCAGCAGCACACCACCACCACCAGCACACCACCACCACCACCTTACCTGTGCCTGTTGTGGACCAGCTCGTGGTAGACCTTCATCATGAGCGCCACGCACGTGTGCAGGCGACCTCCATTCTTCTTCCCTCGGGCGCTGTCCATCGCCAAACCCACCAGCACGAACCCAATCGCCAAATCTCGTGCTGTGTCCCCTCGTCTTCGTCAACAACGCTGCTGGTGGTGCTGTTGCTGGTGGTGCTGTTGTTGGTGGTGCTGGTGGTGGTGCTGGTGGTGCTGCTGGTTGTGGTGCTGCTGGTGCTGGTGGTGCTGGTGGTGCTGCTGATGGATGCGCTCCTCCGTGCGTCCGTCCCTCACGCGAGCCTAACGCAAATCCGTGACCACCACCGGCCACAACCACCGGCCACCACCAACAACAACCACCACCGACCGACCGCCCAGTGAGTGCGGTGGCGACTTGGGATGTCACAAACGAGTCGGCGATGTGGCCACGCTGCTATCTCGGTGGCTTCGCGTTCAGACCTCCACCACCACTACCACGACTACCACCCACCACCACTACCACCTACCACTACCACGGCTACCACCACCACCACGGCTACCACCACCACTACCACCACCACACCACCACTACCACGGCTACCACCACTACCACCACCACGCCACCACTACCACGGCTACCACCACCACGCTACCACTACCACTACCACGCCACCACCACTACCACGCCGCCACCACCACTACCACGTCTACCACGCCACCACCCACCCACTACCACGTCTACCACGCCACCACTACCACGCCACCACTACCACTACCACACTACCACCACGGCTACCACCACCACCACTACCACGCCACCACTACCACCACCACTACCACGGCCACCACTACCACTACCACGCCGCCACCACCACCACTACCACGTCTACCACGCCACCACCACTACCACGCCACCACCACTACCACACCACCACCACTCTCCACCTTGCGTCGGTCGCCCCCTTTTATCGGCCGTCGCCCGCGGGAGTTGAGCGCAACAGTTGCGCTCGCTCGAGCCGAGGGGGCGCGCGTCCTGCCGGCAATGGATGGAGACCGCGCGTGGAGGTGGTGGGGGGAGATGGTGGTGGGGGGAGGTGGTGGGGGGAGGTAGTGGGGGGGGGTGCACGGAGAGGCGCCGTGTGATTGGCTGAGGACGTTGGGGGTGGGGGGGGCACGGAGAGGCGCCGTGTGATTGGCTGAGGACGGTGGGGGGGTGGGGCGTGGGGGGCACGGAGAGGCGCCGTGTGATTGGCTGAGGACGTTGGGGGTGGGGGGGGCACGGAGAGGCGCCGTGTGATTGGCTGAGGACGTTGGTGGTGGGGGGGGGGCACGGAGAGGCGCCGTGTGATTGGCTGAGGACGTTGGGGGTGGGGGGGGGCACGGAGAGGCGCCGTGTGATTGGCTGAGGACGTTGGTGGTGGGGGGGGGGCACGGAGAGGCGCCGTGTGATTGGCTGAGGACGGTGGGGGGGGTGGGGCGTGGGGGGAGTGCTTCTCATTTCCTCCGCTCCGGGGATTGAACCCCCCCCGCCCACAGACTTCACCTCCTCGCTCCCTGCCCCTCTTTCTCCATCATTCATTCCCTCCCTCCCTATCTCATTCATTGCCTCCCTATCTCATTCCCTCCCTATCTCATTCCCTCCCTCCTTCTCTCCCTCCCTGCCTCTCCATCATTCCCTCCCTATCTCATCCCTCCTTCTCTCCCTCCCTGCCCCTCTCTCTCCATCATTCATTCCCTCCCTATCTCATTCATTCCCTCCCTATCTCATTCATTCCCTCCCTATCTCATTCCCTCCCCCCTTCTCTCGCTCCCTGCCGCTCTCTCTCCATCATTCTTTTTTTTACAATCAGTGGAAACAAGAAGATGCTCGGTGTATTCGGCACTTTGCTTCGTAATTTTTTTTTACTTTGCTTTATGTAAACCCCCACCTCTCGCTCGCTCTCTCCATCATTCCCTCCCTATCTCATTCATTGCCTCCCTATCTCATTCTCCCCCTCTCCCTCCCTGTCTCTCTCCATCATTCCTCGCCTCCCTATCCCATTCCCTCCCTCCCCTCTCTCTCATCATTCCCTCCCTCCCTATCTCATTCCTCCCTCATTCTCTCCCTCCCTGCCACTCTCTCTCCATCATTCCTTGCCTCCCTATCTCATTCCTTCCCTCCCTATCTCATTCCCTCCCTCCCTATCTCATTCCCTCCCTCCCCGTCTCTTTCCATCATTCCTTGCCTCCCTATCTCATTCCCTCCCTCCCTATCTCATTCCCTCCCTCCCCGTCTCTTTCCATCATTCCTTGCCTCCCTATCTCATTCCCTCCCTCCCTATCTCATTCCCTACCTCCCCGTCTCTTTCCATCATTCCTTGCCTCCCTATCTCATTCCCTCCCTCCCTATCTAATTCCCTCCCTCCCTGTCTCTCTCCATCATTCCTCGCCTCCCTATCTCATTCCCTCCCTCCTCCCCCAGTCGCCCATCAACGTCGTGTCCATGATTCAGTCCGTGCCCAGCACTGTCGCTACTTCTTCTCAGAATCCCAATCCTCTCATTCCGGACAAATCCCATGTGGAGCTGCGACACTCATTGAAGGCCACTCACCCAAGTTGACCCATCCATGCATTCACTGCCCCCTGTGTGTGTGTACGATGCTGGTGCAGACAATCTACAACAATAACCTCATAAATTTCGATTTAAAGCTTTCGTGACTGCAGGGATTCATCTTCTTGGTTCTTTCGGTAAAGTCACGTAGAATGGAAATAATAAAATATTCTACGTGACTTTACCGAAAGAACCAAGAAGAATAACCTCATAGTTTGTTTTAAAATAGGTATATAAATCATGCTCTCTCTCTACACACGCGCACATGTACTGTATGTATAGCCAGCAATCCTCTGATCTGGCAACATTTACCCAGTGAACACGCCATCCACGATGCAAGTGTAGTAAGTATATATGGAGGCTTGACGACAGGATCGGAGGCACACTTATTTATTACACCAACACAGTTGTACAGGTCACTTGGCTACAGGGATTCTCGACAGCTAACCCCTCTAACCTATACCAATTCCTCCACTACGGGACTAGGGGAGGCTATCTGTCCCAGCTTGGTTAAGCTGGGATCCCGGCTCCCTGAGTCACCAGACCAGCTTCGTCTGGGCTCTCGGGGCCACGCCACCGGCTTGCCCTGGTCGGCCCTTATAAGGACAGCGAGCCAGGGGAGCTCTGGGGCCTACACTAGCTGGTCTTCCGTCTTCTCTGGTTAAAGCTGAGTCCCGACCTCGAGCCCTCGAGCTCATCACCTTTTATAGGACTCGCCCCCGAGGGGGGGCCCGTGGGGGATACACATGCGGACGTCGGTGCTAGCGCCACCCTTGTGTACGGCCGTAACCCCGCCCCTTGTGTTTGTTGGCCATCCGTGGCCATGCATAATCACACCTCAACATTCGTAGCCATGCGCAATTACACCTCTACATCACCCCCCCCTGTACAGCTCGCAGCCGTCCCTGGCTGCAAAAAAAAAAAAATCAGAATAAAGGTGCATCCCTCACAAAAACCCCGTGTGTGTGCCTCGCGTAATTTTTAACAAGAACAAGAGAACCTTAACAAGAACAACAACAGGAAGAGAGAGAGAGAGAGAGGAAAAAAAAATAACCCGACGCACCCCCCCGAATAAATACCCCAAAACCAACATATATACACACACTCCGGACGCCACCCCTCCCATTGTCCGCAAGGCCCCCCAACGGCCGACCTCACAATAGTCTGCGCGTTTTGGCGCGCGTCCGCGCGGCGGGCCCGTCACAAGGGCCCGTCCTGGCACGCTCAGTGACGGTTGTTGACGGTCCGGGTGCAAGAGAGTCAGGCGTCGCTGCCGAGTGACCCCCGACCCCTCCGGGAGGGGTTGGTGGGTGTGGACCCGTCACTCCTGTTTCACCTGGGGACGGAACAGTTGGCGTCAGGTTAGGCGAGTGCAGCGACGACGGGGAGTCGGCGACACCCTCACACGTTTGGCCATGCGTGTGTGTGTGTGAACCACGGGGCGGCGCGACAAATGGTTTTAACCTTGAGGGGTGCACATACCACCGGCGCCTCCCCCATTTGACGCGAACACATTGCGGCCGCAAAGCCTGCACGACCTCCACTGGCCCCCGCCACGGCCGTACCAATTTCGACGAGGTTGCCAGCGGCACCTGAGGACAGTGCAACCACGCCCTGTCCCCTGGTTCCCATTTGACCACCTGCACCCGCCCCAACCGAAGCCTCTCGTTCGCCTTCTGGCGGAGTTCAGAATTTTGCACGGCCGCTTCCCGCGCCTCAGACAATTTAGCGATGTTAAATTTAATGTGTTCGGACAAATTAGACTTCGCCGGGAGCGCCGAGAGCTTCAGCTGGGTCGCCACAGGGGGGTTAACTTCGCGCCCATACATTAAAAAGAAAGGGGAAAATCCGGTGGCCGCATGAGGAGCCATCCTGTAGGCCTGCAACACACCGGCTATGCGGAGGTCCCAATCCGTCTGGGATACCGACACCTGCTGGGACAGCATGGACGTGATGGTCCGATGCAGCCGTTCCACCATCCCGTCAGTTTGTGGGTGATACGGAGAGGTCCGAACCTTCTCCGTACCCAAGAGGTCGCACACCTCACGTAGGAGTTTACCAGAAAAATTCCTACCCTGGTCAGTAAGCAGCCGTTCCGGAGCACCTTTGTCGAGGACATAGCCCTGGACAAAGGCCTCCGCGATGGCTGCTGCCGACTGGTTCGCCAGGGGCCAGGCCATAGGCCATCTCGTGAAGTATTCAACCCCCGTTAGTAAATACCTATTGCCCCTGGGCGTAGCGGGAAATGGCCCAAGTATGTCCAGAGCGACGAGCTCGTTAACCCGGGAAACTTTTATGGACTGCAGCGGAGGGTTGGACCCCCTCGCAGGCGGCTTCCTCTGCGCGCATTGCGTGCATGACCCCAAGAGATCCCCCACGTCCTTTTCCATGCCCGGCCAGAAGAAATCCAGCTGGAGCGTGGCAAAGGTCTTGTGAACCCCCAAGTGCAGAAGCCGCTCATGAACAGCCCATACCACCTTACCCCTTAAAGCAGCAGGCACCACAAGCCGCTGGCGCCGGGTTTTTCCATCCCAGTGCATCAAAAGACCCTGGAACAACCCCCACGAGTCAACGTTTTCCACCCCCTGACCAGCCCCCCCGACGCGACGGCGCAAAGCGAGGAGGGAGGTGTCCTCCATTTGGAGGCGTCCCCATTCCGCGACCGGCAACCCCAGCAACGAATCCCTCCCTTCTTGCTCGATAGGACCCGAAGCCGAAGGTGCATCGGTAGCGGCCACGAGGACCGAATCGGTGGTGACGTTCGGGGGCCTACAACGCCCCGAACCCAACAGGCACGCGCACTCCGAAGTGGGTGGCAATCGTGACAGGGCGTCAGCGTTCGTGTGGCGGACACCCTTACGATATGTGGTGACAAAGTCATAGTCTTGGAGGATCTCCAACCATCGAGACAACTGGCCCGATGGTTGTTGAACCCGCAGGGCGTACTGTAGGGCCGCATGATCTGTACGGACGGTGAACCGCCGACCGTACAGATACGGGCGGTACTGCTGAATGAAATAAACAATGGCCAATAATTCCCGACGGGTAACGCAGTACCGCTGTTCGGCTGGAGACAGTACCCGACTACCGTAAGCCACCACATGCTCTACGCCCCCGATGAGCTGGGACAGCACACCCCCGATGCCCGTGTTACTTGCGTCAGTATCGAGCAAGAAGGGTTGTGAAAAATCCGGGTAATTCAACGGCGGAGCTCCCACCAAAGCATTTCTGAGGGCGCGAAAAGCAGCCTCCTCCTCCGGCCCCCAATGAAACCTGACTCCCTTGGACGTCAAGGCATGCAATGGTTTCGCAATCGTAGCGAAGTCAGCCACAAATCGCCGATAA